TCGTACGAGCAAATACGCTCTGAACCCCGATGTGTCCCTACCGCGCCGGAATTCCTAATGTTCGGTCCATAAGCTCCTGGTGTTTCCCTTGTCAAAATGTTTACACCAACACCGAAAAGAATCCCCTCTCTCGCCACTGTACAGAATCAAATATCATTTACGATTTCATTTTATTTCTTATAGAAACCGTGGCTGAATCGGGCATTTCGTTTTTTAAACCATTTTTTATCTCATTATAAATCAACAATAGTTAATTTATATTAATTGGAAGAGTCCAGAGGTTGATCAAGAATAAATAATCGATTGACAGGAATGAATCAATCATTATACGGTCAATGTGGTGTTAACTATAGTGTGCTGTAGTTAAATATACAGGGTGAGTGAATAAGAACTGCTGTCTAAAATAACTCATTACCTATTAGTTGTATCAAAAATGGTTTTAATGAATTATATAGTATTTTAAAGAACGCATTGAATGGATACAATTTGTTTTGATTATATGTTTTTTTTTGCTTTTAGACAAATATAAAAAATATCAATGACACAGCATAAGTTTCAGACTTCGTCGAAAATAAGTATTGAATTTGACAAAACATAGTGGATTACTCATTGGTACACCTAATATAACACTAATACTGTATTACTATAAAGTATGCTATAATTTTGTATCGTCTTCAACGTGTTGGCTCAGTTGATCCGGTTACAAGGTATAATTCCCATAAAAATTATCCCAGGGAGTAATTTCCATCAGCGTCGAGCACGAAGTTCTAATCGCTAGGGAAAGTTAACGGGTCGGATCCGTGGGTGTTCGGATTACTTTTACTCTCGTTTCCTCGTATAATATTCATTTCAATGCGTCCAGTGATTACATTCAACGTTAACGTTCCTTATTCTCAGAATAATCGTTTGATCTTCATTCGAAAACCATGTAACATTGAAAAATATTTCATTTACCGATAGTATAACCATTTTATAAAAGTCAGAATCGAAGGTGGATTTCAATTGAACGTGAAGAAGAACCTCTTAATAATTAATTTTAGAAGCACACAAAGCTTTGAAAAAATTTCCCAATACAGGAATTACATTCGAAGTAAATGTACTCGAATACTACACTGGGGTTGAGAAAGTTAAACGTAAGGACAACACAATTACTAAACTTTCAAGGAACTTTGTGAAATATGGAGATAGTATTGAATTATCAAAATTCCAAGAAGTCCATTGAAATTGTAAGAACGTATTGAATTATTGAAATTCCAAGTGATCATCGAATTATTGAAATTCTAAATTTTTATCGAAGTATTGAAATTTCAAATTATTATCGAATTATTCAAACTCCAAAAACATCTATTCAAATTTTAAGGAATTATTGAATTACAGAAATTCAAAAAAATCTGTTCAAATACTAAGAATTTATTCAGCCGAAATTCCAGGACCGTTTTATTGAATTCCAAGTGATTATCGAATGATTAAAATTCCAAGTGACAGTCGAATTATTGAAATTCCAAGTGATCATCGAATAACTAAACTTCCAAAAAACCACTGAGTGATTGGTATTTCAAGAAAAATTCCGGTTAAAAAGGCCGACGTGTCCATGGACTAACCAGAATTATAAAATCAGAAACTGTTCGAAATGGGGAACGAGACGAGAAATTGACGGAAACGTCGTCGTCGAGGACGAAACGTGGCGTAATTTCATTACGTCATCGTCGACCGAAAACTACACTAACACACACGCAGAAACTCGCGGGTACGGGTGCCCAGTGACAACACTAATAATTCGTGTTTGGCCACGGACCAAGCCCCGAAGAGACCGTAGCATGTGTGCCGTTGTTTGCCGAACGGACGACGACGACGACGACGGCGGCGTGAATTAGGGTGGCTACGTGCCGGCGTTAATGTTAAATAAATACGGTTCGGCTAAATAAAATGCAACGAGCCGCGTCGACAGATGTCCACCTCGTTTTGGATAAATATTTAAGCCTCGCTTCATACGCTCCGTTGCCTCCTCCGCCATCTTCCCTTCTCTAACCAGCCCCGTGTATGTATATGTCACAGTAAAAGCGTGAAGTATAGTAAATCTACATACTTACTCGTCAATGCATGCATTTACGTACGATTTTGGCATATGAATATAAAAATCTATACTCTTTGATAAATGATAACATTTACTATGTAGATAATGTATATTTCCTACAGCACCTTAGTAAAAGCATAATGTCGAAAGTATAATTTTTTAAGACACAGGTATATTTAAAGAAAAAAAAAAATGAAAACTGAAAACATTTATTTGATAATTTAGGGATCCTTATTAACCGTTTCAGTACTGAATTTTCTTTTAAGAGTAAAAAAATGTATTTATTTACACATTTTAACTCAGTAGACTGTTTAGGTGATATTTTGTTTAAAAAAGTTTTCTTTCAGTTGTTTTAAATACTGCAACATACTGTACCTTGTTGTTCGACTAAAACCACGAATTTGTTCAACAAATATACACCTTTATACGTAAGATCTGGGATAATATTAATTTCAATTGTTATTTTATTGAATCGTTTATCGTCGGTCAAAATTTTGCCCGTCTTGAATTTAACCAATAGTTTCCCGTTTGTGAAGAAATAAATTATTCCATTACGATATTTACATTTCTCCGGTGATGTTTGAAGAGTGCGTTATTTTACTGAATATTCACGTTCTTCGAATATTCTTTAGAGTAGGTGTATTGGAAATATTAATTCAAGTAATATGTTATATACTTAATAATTATTTAGTGGTTGGAATATTTATTTAAGTGAGATTTGAAATAATATTTTTCTTCTTCTAATTTTCAAATAAAATTTTAGTATTTCATGTTAAAGAATAATTTCATTTTAATTCTAAAAAAAATCATAGTAGCATAAAGCTTCTCCGTCGAGCTATAATATCCCCTTAACACTTTGATGTCCTAATAGTACGTTTTTTCAAAAACAAAAAGTAAGTAGCACATCTATCTTGAATAAGAACTAGAATAGTAAAAAAAAAAATAAGGAAAAATCGCTTTTCCTATACGTAAAGTTTGACAAATAAAACGTAAGTTCTAATATTCTAAATATTTTAAAAACACTCGAAGTTGCATAGTTGCAAATACAAAAATTCTCCCGCCAGCAATATTTCTTCCAGACTTTCAACAATTTCGTAATGCCTTCTATTTATTGCATATTCGATACCTCTTTCAATACTTATGGGCAGGAGTGTACCCAGCGCATATCACATAACCTCAAAAAACCCAGGCATTCTCAACACAACAAAACACCCAGTAAATGGACCTAATCTCATTCCCGGAACATCGAATTTCCTATATAATAATCATCCCATCGAGCACAAGTCGATGTATATATATCCATATATAAATGAAAATCAACTCTCGGCCACATCGGAATCGAGGGACAAAACGGTGCACAGGTCGGTGGATTTTCCGTCTGTGAATTCCTCGCGCGACGCGTCGGCGTTCAGCAGCCCCGGCAACTGATAAAAATCCAATAGCAGTGTTTGCCGTCCGGAAAGGGCAATCACGTTCATCATGGTGTCCCGTTCCCCTCCTCCCGCCCCTCTGACTCCCAACGAATCCACCCCCTTTACCCCCTCCCTGCCGTCCGACTGCCACTCAGCCCCGTCCTAGCGGGCGGCCAGAACGTAGCCGCCCATGGAATGTTCCTGGGGGTGGGATAACCACGTGCACACACGTCGAGGGTACGTACGAACAGGGGAATAGACGAGGACAAACGTGGACCGAGCTCGACGCACGGATACACGGGGGACGGAGAGGGTTGGGTGGGGGTGGGAGGAGGAGAAAGGGTGGCTTCGCTGGTCAGATAAACGGTAAAGCAAATAAATCCCGCTACTTTAACATGCAGGTCACCGCGCCGCTTTCCGTTTATTTTATTCGTTAAATATTTCATTTGGCCAACTAGAGCCAATTACGAGCGCTGGCCTGACGAGCAGAGGGACCTGACGCGTCTCCTGTCCTCCCCACCTCTCCTCCATCGTGTGTCCCCCCGACCCTTACGGGGATCGATGATGGAGACTGTTCGTGGGGCTCTTTGACCAGTATTGGAATGGTTTGGCTAGGATAGCTCAAGGATTGTTGGGAAGTGAGTGGTGTGATGAGGGACTTTTGGTGGGCTCAGGGATAAGAGAATCGGCTAGGACACTTAGGATGGAACCGTGGTACCCACGATTATTATTAAACTCTGGACGTTTGTAGGGGACTTCGATATCTGGGAAGTTTTCGGTTCTGCTGGTGACGATTGCCTGTTTTATTCTGAACCCAATAAGTCCAGATCCGCCATACAAATCAATCACCTTTTCTACCTTCTTACGTTCATTGAGGTTAATTGAGCTAAATTGAGGGAATTGACACATTTATGTGCGTGTTAGTAGAGACAAGGTGGTGAGTGTCTTAAGCCATATGCGGAAGGACCTGAAATGAAAGGAAACAGAACCAAAGAATCGGTAATATTGTAAGGAATCTACGCGTTCCGCGTCGGACCGACGGTCGCAGGAGCCGCGCGTGTCGCTATCAGATCGGGTGTCGCCGAGGAGCGGCTCGGCGCGTGGCTTTGTCGAGCCGCCGGCTTCGAGGAATCCTGCGTTCCGGCGTCGATTGAGGACCGATGCCGCCCTAAACGCGATGGTTGATTGTCGCCGGGCGAGTTCGGCGGCAGCGTGTGTGTGTGTGTGTGTGCATGTGTGTGCTATGAGAGCGTGATTATAGGCATGAATGCGAGGACACGAGGCAGTCAGTCTCGAGCCGTCGAACAGTTAGAATAAACAACTTCAATACGTAAGACGTGTTCGATTTTTTCCCCGCTCGACAACCTACAATATGGGCTTTGGGTACTCGAGAAATATGATGAAAGGCGCCACCTGTAATCTTCTAACGTAACGCATGAGCCATACGTTGGCCACCTCTGACATAGAGGATACCTTCACGCTCATCAGATTAACGGTCCTATCTATGATTCCAGGTGTGGTTCCAGAACCGACGGGCCAAATTCCGGAAGCAGGAACGACTTGCCCAACAGAAATCTACGTCCCAGGGCGGAATGGGCGTGGACAGTGGTGCATCCAGTCCAGTGGCCAGCAACGTGAAGGCGGAGGGTCGCTCGCCGAGAAGTCCAGCAACGCCGCCAGGTGGTTCGAACAGTGTCCTGTCCTCGAACGAGGTGAAACCGATCACGAATCCCAACCTGGTCAGCGTGAAACACGTGACGGACCACACGACAGACGGAAGCTCGACGAACACACGGGGAAGCAACAGCACCGGGGGCGCATGGGGCTCCTGTAGCCCAAGGCCCTTTTCGGCCGCATTACCGCCCTACCTACTGGACCCGCTGCCCCTGAAAACCGCGAATCTTTACTAATCGTCCCGACGAAACTACTCCATCCCGGCTGAATCGTGTAAATATAGGGAGTAACGCGTACTTGGAACCGGAAACGGGTCGCTGTTCAGAGGACATTTAGCTACCCGCGGGGTCGTTTCTCTATGTCCCTTCGTTGTGTCGATAACTTTGATCCTTTGACTGGGTGCTTTTATTGCTTTCTTTATTTATTCACTTAGACTGGAGATGTACAGGGTGTTTCTGAGGTATTAATACTGGCTAGATAATTCAGGAGTCGTAATATCGGTATTAGTCTTTGAGCTAGCCTGCAGTCCCCTTATTGGACTTACCTTTGAGCTGCAGTCCATTATTTTGTTTTTAACCTGATGAACTTACAAATAATTTGTTTATTTTTTTATTTTATGTAGAAGAAATGTTTCTTGGCCTGAAGATACGCAGGGTGTCTCTGAATTATTGTTGAGAATCAGCTAATAGGATTTGTGACGAAGAACCTTTACTTCAACTAGGAAGAAAAGATGAAAATTTGGTTCAAATCCAGCTTGATTTATACGTTATTATATTTTACGTATACTATGATCCTAAAGTACCGAACATACTCTTATATTTACTTTCATCGTCATACGTAAGTTTCTCCTCCTATTTATTTTAATACTGAAGGATTTTTGTTTCTTTATTAAATTCCCTAAGTTGGATTGGAAACGATCTCAGGGCGTAACGTCCGATATAATAGAAGCGGTTTCCTATATGAAACCCAAAGTTACTGATATTCACGTACCGTCCTACACTTCTCATTGATCATTGCCAGAGAACCTAGCTGATAAGTCGGTAGCAATGATGATCGCCTGCATCAGAAGTAGCCGCGAAGACGTTTTCAAAAAAAGAGGGATCTGATCAGGAAAGTAGAATCCTAAAATCCTTGAAGAAAGGTGGAAAGTATATCCAACTATGATCCAACGAAATAGTCTAGACGTCTCGATCGATGATATTTTCCATAAAAGAAAAGAAAAACGCGAGCAATGAGGATGACAACCGGCAGAAAAGATCGTTTACGGGACTCTGAACAGCCTCGTTTCTCACCGTGTCGCTCTTTGTTAAGGTGAATATAGACGATAATATCGAGGATATCGATGTGGTCGGCACTTGTACAGTTGTTGCTATAAATATAGGAGAATTAGTGTTTTACACCGTAAACTCGTACTCCACTATCCATCGAACAGGAGCGAAATGTGTGTTCCCATCACTGTCCTAGAACAACCAACCTGGACTGAGGGAAAAATCGTGTCTCGCGAGGAACGAACAAATTGTAGCTCCGTCTGTATCATTGGCGTTTCGATATATAGTGGGTGGAACAAATATAATAACTCTCTTGAGACCCATTCAACTGTCTTGTCGAGTGATACCCTAATTATGCATAACTGTACCGAGTGGTGCTGAGGATCTAAGAGGATTCAGTCGGAGATAAGGTCTTCTGTTGTCACCAGTCAGTTACACAGCTATGTAGCTGACGCTGGGAGTCGTAGACACTTTGGGGATTATTCTGTTAGAGTCTTGGGAAGCTACTGACTGCCGCTGAAGTCTGTGGTACCTCAAAATTTGTAGGGAGCAATAGGGCACCTTCAGAGTGTTAAGCAGCAATGCTATTTCTTCTATTTATCGAGGACCACTGTGGTCCCTCCAGAGTTGTGGGGAAAAATAGGACACCTTCAGAGTGATAAGCAGCAATGCTACCTCTTCTATTTGTTGGGGACCATTGTGCTCCATGCAGAGTTGTGGAGAGCAATAGGGCATCTTTAGAGTGATAAGGAGCAATGCTACCTCTTCTATTTGTTGGGGACTACTGTGGTCTCTCCAGAGTTGTAGGGAGCAATAGACTATCTTTAAAGTGGTATACCTACTACTATAATATAGCCCCTTCCAACTGGTGGGAACCACTGCACTCCCTCCAGACTTGTGGGGAGCATTGCTACCACTCTAAAGTGTTAGGGAACAGTACTTTTTAACCCAGACCTCAGTATCACTCGGTCAAACCATACAACACGTCGAATACGTGGAGGACAGTATCTTGCCAGCAGGTCCCTAGTTAATGGATTTGCGTGACCTGCAACCCAAGATCAAGGGTTACCGATCAAGCAGTGTCCAGATGTCCACTCTTGGATCACAACAGTCTGACACGCTTTCAAGAAGTCCCTATACATTTGTTCCACCAAGTATACATTCACAGAACTATGCGTTAGCGTGTAAGGTTTACTAAGGTCCATTCGTAACATAGAAAATAATGTTAGTCTATGTCCCCCGACGACGCCGATGACCGAAAAGGAGGGGGAAAGAACAGTGAAATCGACAAAGGGGGTAATTGTACGAAATTGGACGCGTGATCGTCGAAGGAAAACTGATCGCTGACGGGAAATCCTTAAACCGATGGAGACCGTACGGGTCGCAGTAATCTTTAAGTAATCGCGCCTCGGGGTTACGAATAGAACAGACCTTGCAGTCTTTATAAATCGAAAAAATATTTATTTTACACAGTAGATCGCTATGATTAATCGCTATCTCGTTTGTATATCCAACTGTCAACGGCATTCCTTAACGCGGCTTACTTAAAGATTAACGAGTACCGTTCCAGACGCATAGAGGAGGAGACCATCAAAGCTTTCTGGTTTAAGGGTTTTCGGATTGTCGAACGAATCGATATGGCTGTAAACAAACCTCTCTATCATCGTGTCCTATTTCATTCTCTCTATTCTCTCTCACTCTCTCACACACACAGTCTCTCTCTCTCTCTTCCTCTCTCTCCTTATCGATATTCGAACTATTTTTATAGTAAATGCTTCGGGCGTAGCTCATATTCCGAGGCTTCGTTCAACACGATGACTTTTCCTTCGACGCGTCCTTTGATCTGACAATGGAATGTCGAGTTGCCGTTGTCGATACGATGTTGTGCCGCCTTTCCCTTCTCACGAAAAACAAAAACAGTTTTCTCCCACTTTTATTTCGAAATATACATTTATTGAAAATAATCATTCTTGTATCTGTTTTTTTTTTTTTTTTACTCATCTGTGCTTCTCATATATATATATCTTTCTCTCTCTCTCGTCTTTAGTCGTCGTTTGATTACATCGTTGCTCCTGATTGCGGTCCAGGTATACGGGTTCTCCTTTGTACTATGTTGCTCGCATGCTCGTCGTTGGGGATGGGACCAAACTTCAACGAATCGTATATTCGAACCTGAATGATTAACCTATGAAGAAGACACTTGCAAGTGTAGTCGAACCCAGAGTACAATAGAACCTTCTTATCCCAGGGTTCATCCAAGTCTTCGATACAAATGGAATATTGGTTAAAGAAGATTCGATGGTTGTACAGGTTAGAATACTCAGACCTGTATCTTCATACTCATTGCAGGATTGTAATCAAGCTGAGCAATATCACATATTTGGCAATGTACCGTGAGTACTAAGTTAGCTGATCGTCATTAGTACCTGGGCTTGGTCCCATCCGCTACTCGTGATCAATCTCGCGACGACGTTCAAGGTCTCCTTTCCGGGTGAAGTGTCTCTACCTATCCGCCATCTTTCTCCCACCAAGAGGCTCCCTCTACCCGTTACAACTATCCTGCGCCGCTTAGCGGGCCGTCTTCGAACTAACTGCCCACGTGAGATCAGTCTCGCCTGGAAAGGAGATCGGACCCGACGTCTGTCCCGCGCGAGGTACCCGGCGGGCCGAATTTTTCGCCATACAAAAGTAATAAAAGTTTGCGTGTTCGTCGGTATAATATATATATATTCGATAATCGTGATCGGTGTGTGTTTGTGTTGGTCGTTCGTGTGCTACGTCGTCGAAGGGATCGTGTGGGCAACCCCCAAAGTCCGATTGGCGATTGCCGATCGAACCTACACGTCTCGGTGCGTGTCCCGATCGTATCGTCGTAAAAATAATCGTCGATAGCGACAAAAAAAGGTGAAACGTTTCTATTTTTTTCTTTTTTCTTTGTTTTTTTTTTGTTTAATTCCGGAGCAGCGTTATTTCTTCGTCATTTGTCGGAGTTAGTCGAGGAGTCAGGCGTCTATACATATACATTACTTACACGCGCGAATGAACGAATGAACGTGGGCCGTGGCCCGTCGTCCAGGTTCATTCATTAGCGCGTATACACCGTGAATATAATTATATTTATATTATATTTATATATATATATATAAGACTGATTCGAGCATCTCGTTATGGTTGTCGAGAGTGAATTTAGGCCATCGTCAGGGTGCCCGCGCCCATACCGAAGCCCACGCCCTTGGGACCGAAATTTCTATTGTAACAGCCGCGACAATAGATGTCGCCGTCAGGGCCATCGTTCAGGTTCGTCGAGTCTAACGAACGATGGCACTCGCCGCAGCTGAAGCAACGCTTGTGCCACACGCGGTTCTTCGAGATCATCTGCTCTGCCGCGTACACCGGGTAGCCGCAGCGCGCGCATCCGTGACCGTCATTTCGCTTCTGGCCGACCTGGGGCTTGGAGTCGATGCTGCAGAGGAAATCAGGATTAATTACAGCTGATGATTGTTGATGGAACATTGGAGTCAGGACAGAGGATTCAATGACCAATTTGGGTAGTCACCTAACACGAAGACCCTTTCAGGGACTAAACTGTAGCAAATGGCAGCTAAGCTATATGAGGCTGGAAATGGTAGCTCCACTGGAAGAAAGTATACCCCTTGATTGATTTTTTGGGGAGTAATGGAATAGAAGGTTTACAAGATTCTGAAGAAGGCAGCAGGTATACTCTTTGATAGACACGTCGGGTAATTCTGCTGATAGCAGACGTTAGGTTGATGGGATTCGAAGAGAAGAAAGGGTACTACTTGATAAATCCAGCTGATGGGATTCAGCAGAAATTGCATTAATGGATAATATCAGAAGGTGCACGGATTGGAGTAGAAGTTAGAGAACATGCTACTTGATAAACCCTTTAGTAGTTCCATTACAGTATACTCTAACTATAATGCCATTTTCGGGGCTGTAGGAGTAAAATGGCAATGTGTTGAGAGCCCCCTCCATGCTAAGTTCTGCCGCCATGGCCTCGGCCTCAGCGCCTGCGCAAAAGCTTGATCGCGCTGGTGCGTCGATGTACGCAACGTGATGAGAGAGCGAATGGGTGTGCGCGAAAGTACGTGTGAAGGGGAAGTGACTCATGTGGCAATGTGTTCAGTGGCATTAAAGTTAGAGTCTACTGTACTAGGACACATTATCAGATGTGGCTATCTTCATAAAAATTCCAAAGAATATGTGAAGTGTAACTTACTAGGAAGGAGCGTGATCTCCGTTCGTCGAAACGAGAGTCGGGGTGTGTCCGAATCCAAATCCTTTGGGTCCAAAGAGTTTGCTATAGCAGGATCGGCAGTGGATTTCCTTGTCGGGTCCATCGCAGGCTAGCATAGAGTCCAGCGGTCGGTGGCACTCGGCACAGTTGAAGCATTTCTTGTGCCACATGGTGCCTTTCGCGAGCTGTTGTTCAGCAGCGAACACCATGCCACCGCAACGCGGGCAACCCTGTCCAGCTGGTGCCTTGATGGAGGTCGTATCTGGGTTGTAGAATGGTCGACTGGCCGAAATTTCATCCTCCCTGAAAGACAGAATAGCTTTGAACCTCGTATCTTACTGACTCATTAAGGTGTCAAATGTCTAAAGAATCTTGAAATTTTGGGCTATCAGCCTTAGCCTAATTAGGCTACTCTATAGCCTAGGTAGGCTACTCTTCCATACCCAATTCAGACTACTTTATTTACAATTTAAGCACGTGTAGCACAGGCCAGTACTACTTGAAGTTCGTAAAAGACTACACCTTATTTTTGAAGTCGTGAACTATGTCTCTAGGCGATCAGAGAGGAGCTAAATCTGGACTTACGAGGGAAGGCACGGAAGTGTCACCCTCCGATTTTGATGAAACTTCGTATGTCCGTTAAGCAGTCAAAAATAAGCGATACGTATTTTTTTTTATCGGCTGAGACACGACTTTAAGGGGTGAAACCACCCCTCGAAGTCTCGATTCGAAATTTTTTTGTTATAAACAAATTATATTTTGGACAATTTGTTAGCACCATATTATTCTACATCAAAAACCGCAAACCTCGTCCATTAGAAGTTTTCGTGTATCTCCTCTAGTTTTCGAGATAGTACCTTCGGATCGAAACTTCGAGGGGTGGTATCACCCCTTAAAGTCGCGTCTCAGCCGATAAAAAAAAATACGTATCCCTTATTTTTGGCTGCTTAACAGACATACGAAGTTTCATTAAAATCGGAGGTGGACACTTCCGTGCCTTCCCTTGTTAGACTGGTCAGTGGACCCCAGAAAACAGCTTCTATAATTGAAATTGTGTGGCTCGAGGAAGATAGTACTCACGTTAGGCCATCGGTCTGTAAGAATCCTGATCCGCATGCGAATCCGTATCCGTGCGGTCCCCATTTCTTTCCGTAGCAGGTCTTGCAGTACACATCTTTATCGGGCCCGTCGCAGGCGATGATGGAGTCCAGAGTTTTGGTGCAGTCGTGACACTTGTAGCACTTCCTGTGCCATTCGCGACCCTTTGCGAGCACCTGTTCAGCGGCGAACACCACGCCGCCGCAACGCGGACAACCCTTGCCGGGTGGGGCCATGATCGCGGCGGTGTCGACTACGGTGGTACGAGGTGCAGCATCGCTACATTTCACATATTGGTCATTGTTACCATCGATCCTCCTAATTTTCAACTATCAAACGTGCTACCGGCCAAAGGTATAATAACAAGGTTTACAAAATTATTGGTGATTAAATTATACTTATTTGACAGAGAATGTATTGCAGTTCTGAAACTTCCAGGATTTCTGATATATTATATAATAACAATGGCACCTAATATGGTACCTTAATCTATAGTTCAGATGTCATCATACTGTTGGCTGGTAGTGTGTTCAACATGGAGTCGCAAAAATGAGGATTCTAACTTAAATTTTTCATTTCTATACGTCTTTGTAAAGTCAGAAATATTTCTCGTCCTCAGTCGTGCGATTCCGACTAATTGTACATTCACAAAGAACTCCATGCAAATGAGAAATCGATTGATATTGATTGGGCAATTAGCATGCTGGGGGGTAGGGTCCTCGATGAAAGCCACGGATCGTCTGGTGATTCTACCGGTGAAAGAACTTGCAATGAAAGTTGATTATTCCAGTCATAAATAATGTATTCCCCGATCCCCGGTTTGTTTAACAATTGATTTTCCGGGGGACAGACGTACTCGGTGTAATCAACTTCAGAAAGGAGACAGGTGCCATTAGAGACGAGATGAACGTTATTCACTATTTATTCGAAAATTACGGCAGCCACTCGATGACAGATCTGCCGAATACCGAATATCTAGAAAGTGTATATACATGACAGTACTTCGAAAGGAAGTGGTCTCGACAGTCTGGAAGGATCGAGTGGCCTCGAGAATAGAAATTCAGTAAGAGTGACGGTGAGTAATAGCGCAAAGCGTTAAAGCGTCGACTCGTGTGTATCTGTGTATAAAGGCACATGCAAACTTTCTCTCGTTCGCTCTTTCACTCAGGGGCCAGGTTCATCCAACATTAATCTAAATGGAGCTTAATGACATCCCTTGATAATTTTTGAATCTTCACGATCCTCCTGGAACAGTTTCGAATGGTAGAAAATAATTTAAAAAATGATTCTATCAAAGACTCAGAGACGCCATTTTGATTGAAAATTAGTTGGAAAAAATGGGGGATGTCTTAACACTTATCTTCCCAATTGGGTCTTCAGAGATGCATTCAACTTTGAGGATCGAAGATTTTCATCGATCAAGTGTTAAGACTGATGGATACACACACACACACACACACGCACATATGGATTGGCGAAACTGGAATGGCATAATTAGGGGGGGTGCGCGTACCCCTCGTCCTGAATATCGCACTGCAGCCCGATCCACATAATCCCAGCGTGGCCAATACCGCGCGGACCGAATTTCTTCGGATAGCAAGCTGTTAAGCAGACAAGCGCATCATATATAATGAGAGTGTAGAAGCCGAGGCGGGATTTTTCTTGTGTGTTCCCGTCTCAGTCTCGGCTCTGTAAACCCACCCATTGGCGTAGCAGTCGCTTTGTAGGGCGCCACCACCCTGGCCGTAGCCATAACCCTTGGGTCCGAATCTCTTTCCGTAGCATACTGCAGAGAACATCGGTTAAAGGTATCTGGTCGGTTGTGTAGTTGTTGCTACTTCGGTGGAACATAACCTACTTTGGGCGTGTTTTGGGTCGAAAATATTTTTTGTAAAATAGAGAGTATTGTTACCAGGTCTTTAGGTCCTGGGTTTTGATTAGTCCAAGGACTTAGGTCCTAGAGGCTTGAGGAGCTGAGGATTCTAAGACTCTCATTATCTTTAGGTCCTGGGTTTTGATTAGTCCAAGGACTTAGGTCCTAGAGGCTTGAGGAGCTGAGGATTCTAAGACTCTCATTATCTTTAGGTCCTGGGTTTTGATTAGTCCAAGGACTCAGGTCCTACAGGATTGAGGATCTGAGGATTCTAAGACTCTGATTATCTTTAGGTCCTGGGTTTTGATTAGTCCAAGGACTTAGGTCCTAGAGGCTTGAGGAGCTGAGGATTCTAAGACTCTCATTATCTTTAGGTCCTGGGTTTTGATTAGTCCATAGACTTAGGTCCTAGAGGCTTGAGGAGCTGAGGATTCTAAGACTCTGATTATCTTTAGGTCCTGGGTTTTGATTAGTCTAAGGACTCAGATCCTAGAAGCTTGAGGATCTGAGGATTCTAAGACTCTGAGGTCTTTAGTTATTGGGTTTTGATTAGTCCAAGGACTAATTTTTTAGAGGCTTGATGAGCTGAGGATTCTAAGACTCTGAGGTCATTATTTCTTGGGTTTTGATTAGTCCAAGGACTCAGGTCCTACAGGATTGAGGATCTGAGGATTCTAAGACTCTGATTATCTTTAGGTCCTGGGTTTTGATTAGTCCAAGGACTTAGGTCCTAGAGGCTTGAGGAGCTGAGGATTCTAAGACTCTCATTATCTTTAGGTCCTGGGTTTTGATTAGTCCATAGACTTAGGTCCTAGAGGCTTGAGGAGCTGAGGATTCTAAGACTCTGATTATCTTTAGGTCCTGGGTTTTGATTAGTCTAAGGACTCAGATCCTAGAAGCTTGAGGATCTGAGGATTCTAAGACTCTGAGGTCTTTAGTTATTGGGTTTTGATTAGTCCAAGGACTAATTTTTTAGAGGCTTGATGAGCTGAGGATTCTAAGACTCTGAGGTCATTATTTCTTGGGTTTTGATTAGTCCAAGGACACAGGTCCTAGAGGCTTGAGGAGCTGAGGATTCTAAGACTCTCGTTATCTTTAGGTCATGGGTTTTGATTAGTCCAAGGACTTAGGTCCTAGGGGCTGGAGGAGCTGAGGATTCTAAGACTCTCATTATCTTTAGGTCCTATGTTTTGATTAGTCCATGGACTTAGGTCCGAGAGGCTTGAGGAGCTGAGGATTCTATGACTCAGATTATCTTTAGGTCTTGGGTTTTGATGAGTCCAAGGACTCAAGTCCTAGAGGCTTGAGGAGCTGAGGATTCTAAGACTCTCGTTATCTTTAGGTCCTGGGTTTTGATTAGTCCAAGGACTTAGGTCCTAGAGGCTTGATGAGCTGAGGATTCTAAGACTCTGATGATCTTGGGGACTTAAGTTAGCCTTTTTTGCCGAAGCTAATTGTCAGATGAAGGAGATCTATGAGTATCATTTGTGCATTATTCTCATTTTATAGATCTTGATGAGACTTTGGGATCTAGAGATCCTGAGGATAGAATCTAGACTTTTCCTTCTTATTTGAATTCCATTTTAAGGAGACTTATTCATCAGATTGAAAATATGCCTAGTAGATTATGTCCCACCTCGTATAATCGTGGCTTGGTTTCCTCACCTTTGCAGTAGATGTCCTTGTCAGGACCTTCGCAGCAATTGACGGAATCTAATCTCTTGGCACAGTTGGCACATTTAAAGCATTCCCTGTGCCATTGCTGCGGGGAACACAAAGGGACACGTGTTAGTCACGAAAAGTACTCTGGAAGGGGTCGACGAATCTTATGTTCTATTACTCACGGTTATTCCCAAATTATACTAACATACCGGGTGTCTAATTATTTATGAACATTTAAATTATTTCCTTTGCCGAAGACATAATCAACAGATATTTATTAAAAATATGGAGTGACTTAGAAGAGGGTTTCTTTTCCGCATCTTCAATAATACCAGAAATAATTTAAATGTTCCTAAATACTGAGATATCTCTTATATTATTCCCTCCATAAATGTTCAATTTGATCACAAAAATCCACTCGTTTGATTTACTTTAACAGAATTATGATTAAATTCCCTCGTTTATCCCAAACAATTCGCTGGTAATAGAACTGACGGTCACAAAAGTGGCAAACGAATATAGGTTATGGCCTCCATGATGGTACTACCAAGCATGGAATGACTTCTTGTCCAAAAATTAATCGAGAACAAGGTACGAAGATTTTTATTCAATATACAATTATTCGTCTTTAAAAAACTGACTCTTAAAATTTATCTGATACGAATTGCTTCGACTAAGTAGAAATAATCGATAATGTGCAGACACGTCTGCCAAATCCTATTCCATATCCTTCGTATTGTACACAAAAAAATCGATGATCTGTACAGATTGAGGCACAATTTTCATTATATGATGTACGTGTAAAAATGATCAGTAAAAAATCTATTTTGAAATTTAACTTATGCTATCAGCTGACATGTCTGATCAATACTGGACATTACTACTTTCATTACTACTCATTATTTCCTATTATAATTATCCTAATAAATTAATTCCTCAATATGCATAAAAAAACATTCTTTTTTATCAATTACTGTACTAGAAGTCACTCGGTACCATAATGGCGGCGAATAGTAACTCGGGGCCAAGGGAGAAGATTCCTCAGGTTCCTGTGTAACAATCCACGGAACACTTTGCGCCAGTGTGTGTGAAAGAAAAAAAAAAGAATATAAACTATGGACGAACGAGGTTCACGTGGGTGCAAGAGCGATTAATTCAAGGGGTCGTTATCAAAATAAAAAGAAGAAAAGAAACGAGGGGAGACAACGAGTGTGGGGGTGGCAGTGCTTCAGTACACGAGGACGATTCACATTCGTTGGATTTCGATAAGATACCTCGACAATATATCTCGCGATCAGGACCATCGCAATGAAGCGTGGAGTCCAGAGACCGTTGACAGACTTTGCACTTGTAGCATTGCTTATGGTAAGCCTAATCACAAGAAGCAGGAATAACCATGATGCGCCCGGGCGACAGGCGAGTTTTCACTGGCTGTCGATTCGATGGGTGGCGTCTTGGTGCCGCGAACATTTTCTCTATTCTTGGATAATCGATAATTTAATCTTGTGATTTTAATGATTTTTCATGTAGATCATTGATCAGGGGGTTGTAAACATTTCTATTCGTAAAATAGTGGAACGTAGTAATCTGGTGAATATTTAGTAAAATATCAATTGCTCTGAATGTTTATTTGACTTTTTTAATGCCAAATGTTCGTATTATTTATTTCCACAAAGAAGAATTATCATGGGGACATGATAAGTTATATTAATATTTATGGTAAGTAAGTTCGATCACGTAATTTATGAACACCCTATATAAATCATCCGAAAAAAAATAATTCCCAAGAAATTTAAGAACTTCCCACACTACCAGAATTTACAATTACAAACAATCTAAAAAATAATACTAACGCTAACTGTAGTTTAAAATTATTAAATTAACGTAATATGTAATGAAAAAATTATTGAAGTCTTTTGTTAATAAATGAATCAATCCTAAAACGCTATTTGAAAATCGTGAGTGCAATTACATTCATAAATATATTGCCTTTTCGTAGTCGGTCTAACAATCTGTTCGGCGCTCTAAGTGACTAATCGGAATCGTTAAATAATTTGGACGATTTCAGATCGGAGGCTAACGAGATAGAAGACAGATTTTGGGCAACGGGACCGGTCTATTGTATTCGAACCGAAAATAACTGAATTCATTGTATTTCATCGCACTATTGCAGTGGAAGTTGGCTCGTCGCACAGACAGTAGAATACTCCGTCATTGGACAGACACGGGTGCACAGAGGTTCATTTGTTGATCGGTCAGTTAACTCTCTGTTAGCTAATGAAAGACAGTTCCTTTGTACAGAATTTACTAAATCATTCTGATCTTGAAAAAACAGACGAGAGACACCAGGAATCTTTGTGCACGAGACTTGTTCAGCATTGGAGGACTAATTTCCATACTTATGCTTCGTCTCCACTTGAGAACAACTTTCGAGGTTTACACTTAAACCTGTATCCAATTGAAAATAGAGTTTCCCGAATTCTGTTGTCAGTGTTCGAGTCAATAGTTTTGAGTAAAACACTCGGATACAAGCTTGAGAGTAAGTCTTGATAATTTCTCTCAAGTGGATAGTTAGCATAAAGACAGAAAGTACATAAAACTGCCCCGAAAATCAATAATACAATAACACTTTCATCCAAGACCTTACAACTTTTTAGAATCCTAAGGTCTCCAGCGATTCAAATGTTCTAAAGCTACGTCTCCACTGGAGATCAATTATCGAGGCTCCCCCTAACCCTGTGTCCACTTGGAAATACACTTACAAATTTTATTTCCTAGAGCAAAAACGTAACAGTAAGCGCATCTTGTAAGACTTTATATAAAATCATCAAGTGGAGACGTAGCTGCATCCTCGAAACCAAAGATCAAAAGATGGATAGTATGTTTGGTGTCTCCTGTAAAGAGGTTCTAAGTTCGCAACGACGGATTGGCAATAATCTAGAAAAGGCAATTAGCCTGCATCGGTTTAATCCACCGAGTCGGCTGTTCCAAGTTATTTTCCAACGCGTCGAGTGGACCAATTGGTGGTCTGCCAAGCAACGACGAAGATAGGAAAAGCTTTTGGGCGGGCACCAACGGCAACAAGCGCACACGGTGCCGACGACTCATCCCACGGATTCCTCGCCGTCGTCGCCGTTGCTGCGCGTACTTTTTTTTTCCCTCATTGTTATGAAATTACGCGTTTCGTCATACGGGCAAGATTACGGAGCCGCGTCACGGCCCATGAGCCCCCTGGCACCGTGTCAGCCGTAGTTGCGGTCAATTTTAGCATCGGATAACGCGAGGCCACGCATCGGATCATCGTCGTTTTATTAGCTTATTCGGAATCTCGTCGAGGACTTCGTCGGGATCGAATGGCAGATTTTTTTTCCGTAGAAAAATTATCGCGGAACCTCCATTATCCGAACCGAGGAAAAATCATTTGAAAGATATTGGTGTTTAAAAATTGAAAATTCTCGATGTATATAAAATTGTGCAACTTCAGGGTAATTAATTATTTTCACTTGGATATACAATTTGTTTAAAAATTGAACATTTTTGGAAATCAGGAACTGACGGATATTTATTGAATATCCTTTTTATCTAGGATTTATTGAGATAAAAACTTGAAATCTAAAAATTGAATTTGTTAATTAAACGTGACAGTGGACAAGAAAATTTTTAAATTTTACAATTGCAAAATTTTCGCAGTCGCTATATTTAATGTGAACGGAAGACGAATCTCGAGAATACGAATTGTAAGTTTATTATTCATTAATTATTCCCCTGAAAAATTTCGTAAATTCTAATTTTGCATGAACGTAATTAATTAATCTACAAGAAACTCTCTCCCATAATTAAGCCGACATTTTCCCTAATCCACAAGAATTGATTCCTTTCCAAAAAATGGTTCACCTCTCGAGTCTTCTAGCCATTCCTACACTGTCTAAATAAATGAGATCCCAAGCGTACCACCGACACATTACTCCAGAACGTTCGAGGCTCAAGATTAGCGGTGAGTAATCGAAAGATCTCTCGCACGATCGAGATTTCCACCTTGGTATCAAGCGATTAATAACCCGAGTATTTCACGGGCTGTTTACAACCCCGTACTACTTCTCGTCTCGGGGGGGATCGGGTTTCCGTTGGTAAAAATAAGATCACCATCGGGCCAGGAATAGCTAGGCTCTCGTCCCAGCGTCGTGATATAACGCGGAATTGTTCTCGATCCCCGGATTATTTCTGGTCTTTTAAGTCGCGGCACCAAGGCGACACTGGGTGTCCGTTTCAAAACGGAGAGGGGGGCAGGCCTGGAACACTCACCCTTCCGCGGGCCAGCATCTGCTCGGCGGCGTACACGTATCCTCCGCATCGTGGGCATCCCTCTCCTTCCGGTGCCTTCGCGATCGCTCGCGGTTCCAATATGGCGTTCGATCCCCGCGAGAGCTCCCTAAAAATTGCGCCGTTATAATACCATTTTTCTGGACTTACGTTACACAAAGCCTAACTACCGTATTGCGCACCGACACACGCTTGCAAAATTATCAAATTCGACACGTCCGCTACCGTAACACATCGATTACATATGGGGCACTGGATGCGTCGACATTCTCTATTTTCAGTTCTATTTTAACCTTTAAGTAACGAGGTGCCGTTTCAATCCGTGGCTTCGCAGATCACACGGAGATTTTTACGGTCTATAACTCAGCAAAAAACTTATTCGAAAAAATGTTATCTAAAAGTTAATCTATGAGACCACGCTTCGGTACTTAAAGGTTAAACCAAGTTTCTAAGAACTTCGACTAAATATCTTGTTTCAGGGTAACTGAAACAGTTGTGTATATTATCATTTTGGAAGAGTGTTTATGAATCGTGATTTATGGCAAACATTCTGGTGACGAACGTTTCGAATTGATCGTGATGGCACACACGGGTCATTTCTGTGTTTACAATATTCCAACGACGAGGCAACGGTCCTCGTGAAAGGTCCTTGGTGGGGAGACTTTTACAGGGTCGAAGACGATACAAGGCCTCAGTTTAGTTTTGACTAGTGGATGAGTGAGTAATGAATCAGTGCGCAGTGAATTAACTGTTTGAAGATACGACCCACGTAAGTTGTCCATACAAAGGACAATATTAGGAGAAATATTATTCATTCGAGTGTAAATATTAATTCTTCTACATTGAAATGAATCATTCAAGTTTTTTAAAATTTATATTCAGAATTTTTTTAATCGTAATTGTGAACCATAATTTTTTAAGCGAATCTTGTGTAATTTTTTCAATTTAAAATTAATGACAATGATTCGTACATTTTGTTGAATCGCATTGGACAGTAATAAACCACGTGCACCATTTAATATTCTACAATGTCTAAAAAAAAACCTGAAGAAAATACAAAATTATTACAAGGGTGTCGGGCACAACGGGCAAGCAAATAGTACCAAAAAAAACACCACCGCAAAAAGAGAAGGGGTGACGTCGAGCGGTGAACGTGTGTAGATGTGCTTTCGAAGTCGAAATTTTACTAACGATCTTCGTTTTCACGACATGCAAAATGATCTCGAAACTGAACTCAGGAGCTGATCGACTCCATAAAACAAAATTTATAAAAAACAAAACAGGGAACAAACTATACATATTATTTTTCAAATTTTACCCTCGAAATATAATTAGCAAAGTAATAATATTATACATTGAATTAGTGAAAAATGTAAGTTTTATATTCGAGGGTGTTAAATCCCAGGTGCAGCAATGATTAATCCACAATTTTTTTTTTTTTATTAAATTCAGTATTTATTTCAAATAATAGAAAATGTTCCTGTGTAACTTCCTGAGTCTTTTTTACCGACAAAAATAGCAGGAAGACACGTTAAATTTGAACTGTATTGTAAAAACAAAATAATGAATTATTCACTGCTACTCCTAACGTATGCTTCAGAAGCCATATACATCCATCATCTCCTGGTGATAAATTCAATTACATTAAAAAGGTTAGAAGTTTATCTTTTTAGAGAATTATTGTCTGTTTCACATGAAGACAGAGCACCTGACAAGAAAACCACGTGGCTAAATTATTTATCTAATAATTTCTCACTAAAAATCGACCCTTTACAAGTTTCTAGGACTATTGTTCCATTGATTGAAAAAAAAAATGAAAAAAACTATTGCGTAATTTTTAGTAATTTACGTGATCCGTCTTTACGTGGAACGACTGTTGACTGTACAATGAGTGGAGTTGATCAGTACGGTTTCTAAAAAGGATTTTCGATTTTCTCGACAATCGTTCACAACTCGATCGACGCAAGATATGAAAAAAAAAAAAGAAACGGAAAAAACAGAAACATAGGAAAAGGCAAAACTGATTACCAGAAATTGGTCACAGAATAACAATCTCGTGTTAGAATGTTAGGCACATGTTAGCGATGGGTTAGTATCTCTTTTCCCCTTTGCAACCACGCAAGTGGCTTCCGCCGAGCCCCGAGAGAGGAGAGCCAAGAAGCGGATCGTGTGTAACAATAAATAAAATAAATAAACAATAAAATAACGGTTTACTCAGAAAAAGAAAAAGTGAGGACAGAGATGAATAAGATTTTGGAAATGGGAACGGGGTGATAAACTGGGACAGAAAACAGAATCGAGTGAGAGAAAGATAGTCGTGATGAAAACAGAAAAGGGGTGGGGGAGTGAGAATAGCGGCCATAACAGTGGGGGTTGTTCTAATGGCCTCTCGATGATTCCTGATGTTACCGGTGACAATTTTTAAAAATTTTAGATAAGAATTTCGAAATTTCAGCATTATTCCTAGAATAATAATATCTTTAACAATGTTAAAAAAAGATTCTAGACCCTTAAAAAAAAATACAATTACATACTTTTTAGACAGTTTTCACTAAAATCGATACTAGGTGGATTTACAATCAATAGTTACAATAAAAATTCCCAAATTTAACGATAATTGTTAACTGTCTTAACCTGAAACAGACTTAAAAAAGAAAAATGGAAGTTATTCATAACTCAGTTCATTTACATAAAAAAAAGTACATAATGTAATTTTTTAAAAGCGATCATAATCATCAAGAAACGACTCTATTCACAAAAAAAAAAAAACATAGTTTCCACCAAACGTTTTCAAGAGTTACAATAAATGTAAGATGAATGTTCGAAGGCTCCTCGTCACTAAATATTAAATATTTTTGGAACAAATATCATTGGCTTCAGAATTCGAAGATCTATCACAGCGCTAAACCTAATTAAAAATTCAGTATTACATCTGGGGCCCTTTCCTTGTCAATGTCGAGGAGTCTTCGAACACTCATCGAGGATTTCCTGTACACCCGTCAAAATCAATTCTCGAGGCTGACAAATTCCACGACCTATCCCCAATCGGAACAAACTCCTGTCACAACAACCTCGAACCATCTAGAGACGCCATTTCAGTACAACAATCGAGGGGGTCTGCTGAAGCACGTCTACGTATTTTTCTCGTCGGCGTGTGTGTGGTCTGTAAGCGAGGCGTGTTCGCGTCTATTGAAAGCACCCATCGAGTTAACGTTGTTAGCAAGGTTACGGGGTTACGTGTCTCGAAGAAAAAAAAAAAAAAGGTACGAGAGGCCGTGCAGGTGTGCGGATCGATAAATTCGTAAAGATAGAGATAGATATATATATAGAGAGAGAGAGGAAGAAAAATAATTTAAACAAAAAAAAGTCAAGAAAAATACAGAAAAAAAAATTAAAAAGAAAGAAGCCAAGTTTCCTCTACTTTGTTGAACACGCGGAGAGTGTATGGCAGAAGAGAGAGAGGCAGAGAGAGAGAGAGAGAGAGAGAGAGAGAGAGGCGGAATTTGACTCGGTGCTCACCATTTTTTCTTTTCGTTACTTGGTATTTCCCTTTATCACGAGGGGGCACGCGCAGGCTCGTGATAAAGCGACAACATATACATTGTTCAGTGGGCCTCCGGTTGGCTCGCACTCGGCGGGGCTGGCGGGGGGGGGGGTGACTCTCGTTTCTGTCTTGCAAAAGGGGGCTAGAGGTTGGGTGAGGCTGGTTTAAACGTTAACCCTTAAATGATGAGTCGGACAATTTTTGTAGGCGAGGTGGATCCTAACCTCAACTATATATTTTTGTTTGTTCATTTAACCAGACTTTCATAAACATTGAAAAACAGATTGAAAATAATTTTGATTAGGCACGGAAGGAAATAATCCACCATTCGTCCTGTTGCAATTTATGCAGTTTGAATTTTATGCAATTTCCCGCCTTTTTGCTTCAAGATGGCGCCACAGTCTCTAAGAGTTAATTTTCATGGAACTAGATATTCAAATTTGGAAAAGGACGGTAAATTGTTCGTTGGTGTATGCAATGTTTGTGACAATGTGTAGATTAATAGGATCTCGAAGGATCCATCTCGCCATTTCGAGGATTAACGGAAGGCCTGGCGTCCATTTCGTTCGTTCTTGGTGTCTCCATGGAACGACCGTGTCGGGTTCCCTCCACTTCTCCTCGACGCCAGGCCGACGGAACGTTCTCGTACACGTTTGCTTTTTTTTTTATCACTATATACAACTAATTAGGTGTTTTTTTCTGTGCACATACAGTGGGTCAAAAATGTTTTTGGCAGTACCGAGAGCCTTCTAGCTCGATAGATAATATTCATCTGTACCATGGTAATTTCTAGATAAAAATCCAGCTATTAATCAAATCAAATCCAAAATGGCAAGAACATTTTTGTCCGACCGTATTCAACGTTCATTTTGCGTAATGTTATTTTTTTTTTTTTTTTCAATGAAGAACAACCAAATTCTTCTGTTTTATCTGTTTTTTTTTTTCAAATTCCCTTTTTTTCGTCTTTTAATGGCAACTTATTACAGATGGTACAAATGATTCTATAAACTAGGCGTAACTGTAGTAATCGCATAAAAGAAACGAAGAAACAAGTAAACATTATAATACGTTATTAATCATTTGCGTGGTGGGTGGGTGGGGGTGAAAAAAGGGGGGGGGGGGGAGAATACGAGTTGTTACAGTGACAACAAAAGAGATACTCGGCTAGATTAAAAAAACACAGTTAATTATCATTATTATTGATTATCGTCGTCGTTTACGTATATATATACTGTATCATCACCATCCCCATGATCGCTATCGGTGTCGATGGATGACGAGAGGATTCAAGGGACAATTGGGATCTAGGTAGCCAGGGGGTTGGAACAGTTAAAAACGAGAAAAAAAGAAATAGAAAAGACCAAGAGGGGTCCAGAAAATGCTACGAATTCCAGAAAAAAAAGTATCTCCAAATATACAAATGAAAAGATAAACGAAAATCAGTTATTATAATTCGTTTTTGGGGGGTTCGGTAGAGGGTGTGGAAAACCACGGTTTTGCACAGTCGTAATGCTGGAGACGCATGCTCTCGGTCCTTGGGTTCTTTTTGGGCAGGCTGCTGCTTCCTCCAATTCGATCTTCCATAACACGGTTTTTATCGTACCAAGAGAGGAGGGTCATGCCAGGTGGCGATCAATAGGCCGGCTCGATCGGTCGATGGTACGTAATTTTTTTTTTTTTTTCTGTTTAACGCCATGTATGAACGGTTCAACACGGGAACACAGGCGATCGCAAAACGACTCGGAGAATTTGTTCTTTTCTTGGTTTTTTGTTTCTTTTTGAGTTTTGGGTTTTAGGACAAGGGGTGTGTGGTCGGGGGGTGGTAGGGTTGAGTACGTGGAGGGGATGTCGGACGACGGCAGGTGCACTCACTCGCTACTCTTCAAGTGTTCGCCCTGATCCATGGACAGACAACCAGCGCCTCCACCGAAGCCGTATCCCTTAGGACCGAACTTGCGACCGTGGCAGACTTTGCAAAATAGTTCGCCCTCGTGCTCGCTGCAGTTTGTCGAGTCGAGCAATTTGCCGCAGAGACCTGGAACAGAGGACACACGTGCTTTGGCTGCGGCCTATTTGTGATGAGATAAAGATCGCTAGCAGGTGAATAAAGAATGTGGGCAGGTAGTCGATAGGCTATCCAAGTGGTTCAAATTTGAATATGGTGGAATTTGATTCATTTCATTGGGACAGTTCTCTACGACTTTTAGATGATACCTTAAGTATAATATACCCCTAACTTCTTCATAGTTACGTATCACAACGATTGGGTACCCCAACTTTTAGATACGTACCCTAAGTATTTTATACAGTAATTTCTAGGTACGTACCTATTCTAAAGATTGGATACCCTAACCTCTGGGTATATTCCCTAAGTATAGATTACCCCAAATATCTTGGTATGTACCCTAAGTATTTTATACCCTAATTTTTGGGTACGTATCTATTCTAAAGATTGGATACCCTAATTTCTAGGTATATTCCCTAAGTGTAGTTTAGCCCAACATCTTGGTACGTACCCTAAGTATTTTATACCTTAATTTTTGGGTACGTATCTATTCTAAAGATTGGATACCCTAATTTCTAGGTATATTCCCTAAGTGTAGTTTAGCCCAATATCTTGGTACGTACCCTAAGTATTTTATACACTAATTTCTGGGTACGTACCTATTCTAAAGATTGGATACCCTAACCTCTGGGTATATTCCCTAAGTATAGATTACCCCAATATCTTGGTACGTAACCTAAGTATTTTATATCCTAATTTCTGGGTACGTACCTACTCTAAGAAGAGGATACCCTAACTTCTGGGTATATTCCCTAATTATAGATTACCCCAATATCTTGGTACGTACCCTAAGTATTATATACCCTAATTTCTGGGTATATACTGTAAGGATTGGATACCATAACTGCTGGGTATACACCCTAAGTACTATAGTACATAACTTTTTTTATATGTACTAACTATAGTACACCCTAACATCTAGATACATACCCTAATTTCTGGGTATGTATCCTAAGTATAGTATACTCTAACATCTGTGTATGTACCCAAGTATTGTACAACCTAACTTCTGGATATACATATATCCCAAGCATTATATACCCTAGCTACCATGTATCGTATTCTTCAAATAATTTTACTGCCAACAAAATAACATGTCTTGAATAATATCACTTATATTCTACAGTAAAGTAAAAATAATGACTTCCGTTAATAATTTCCACCAACCAAAAGGATGTTCCGTTATTCCAATCCAAGGTGATCGCTATTTCGCGCTCGGGCAATCTAACCTAAATACTTCCTCCATGTTCGCCGATACCGACAATAAAACGGCGCTCAATTAAATCATTTGGACAGGAATAACAGCCTTGTGGATTAACTCCGAATAACACAAATTCGGTTTTCATGTAGAATCTCCCGAAATTGATGCGTTTCTGACGTCGAATACGGGGATAGCGTTAATTCTCTATTCAACTGAGTTTGGTAACGCCGGCCGAGTGACGGTATAAGTCGAAAGTATAACCGAATAAACCGGGTAATTATCGCGCCGCGAATTCCCTGCACCGGGTTATTTCGATACGTCGGCTGAATATTCGATGGGTTTTATCCCGTGGCTCCACGGAACACAGAACACGGGGGATTTTTGCGGATGAACGCCGCGGTTTCGGGGTCGTTGCACCTGACGGCGGGCCTCTACCCGCTGGGTGGTTCCGATTGATTTTTGGCTGGCATACAGAACTAATTAGGGCCAAGACGAGCCATCCGGGACTGGCGTAAAACTTATTTATAGAGGCGGCTAAATTTAAAAAGGACCGATGGTGTTGTTTGCGCAACGGGGAAGCGCTGTTGGGCGCGCAATGGCGACCTGACGGACGATCCGTCCGCCATGATGGAATCTTGATTACGATTATTTTGCTTGACCACGTTCATGGGAATCGTTTTGTCGAAAGAGAAATTAGAAGAAATTGATACTACTGGGACTAAATGGGTACGCGTAAATGTTATTTATCACCTGTTGGTGATTGAAGTCTGATATTTAATTGGACAACACTTATGAGAACCGTTTTTTTTTTTGTTCACAAAGAGAAAATTGGCGAAAATAGTATCATGAGATCTAAATAGGGTACCAATAATTTGTTTACTGGAAAAGTTATTTATTAGTAATAAAAAAAGAAAAAAGGTTTAAATGTCTGAAGAATTATAAATTTTCGATAGAAAAATAATACAATTATGGGATTAAGTCTTCTTTGCTTTTATTATTCTATTTCATAGTTTGGAAACACCGTGTATACGGACCAGCTATAAGTGTAACGTGCAACTTCCGGTATACGTGTGACGACTTACCGCATTTAAAGCACATCTTGTGCCATTTGAGGCCTCCGGCGACTCGTTCTTCCGCGGCGTACACGGATTTGCCGCATTTGGGACACTTGGGGTGCTCTACTGGTTTGAAAGGCATTTTGTTTGTCCTGAAACAACAGACAAAATCTACATTAGCATAACAGTCAAGATTTTGTCAGCGAATAAACAAACTTCTGTTCACTTTCTTGGGAACAATTCCTTTCGGTACACAGTGATTCTTGAAATCTTCCACGGATATTCACAATATTTTCTTGCCAAATTTCTTACTTTTTCAATTATAAAATTTCAAAAATTCACGTAAAATTACTATCGAGAGACCTCTAAATATTTGATATAGTGAATAATTATTTAAAAATTATAGAAGCTATACGACCATAACATTTCTCTGTCTATAAACACGTCGGCAGCTGAATGGGACATTCACCGTTTTCACAACGTATTACCTAATGATTAGACAGGTGGATCGATTATTATTCCCCATTATTTATCCATAGCACATCCTCTAAACTATACTTTTATTCGCCAACAAGTTACCACAATTCCCAGAAGATGGCGTTAGAAACGTAATTCCAGATTGCTAGATATATTTTCGGTAGAGCTCAGTTAAACCTAACCTAACCTTTGTAGTTTCCTCAAGTTTAAAAAATAATAGTTTCATATTCTTTTTGACAGTCGACGTCAGGACTACCAAACCCATCAAAATGGCGGATTTCACATTTCCTATTGTACTGCTGCTGGAATCCTAAAGATGACATTCATCGAAATTTATGTTGACCTTTAATTATACTGTATCATTTTAAAATGTGTCATATATTATTTATATTATTCTTTTATATATATTTTTGATTTAAGTATTCTATAATTTAGTTCGGTGTTGCTGGCAGTTCTAGTGTTAAAGCTAACCAGAACGCAACGGTTTGGTTACTTAACCGGCCGCTGACTAAAACACGAAGAATCCGTGGTTTCCGTCACGCCCTCCGTCGACAACCGCGACTATTTTCGCAGTCGGCCATCGCGAGGGACTCGCGAGAATCTGGGAGATTTATGAGGATAGGGGAACTCGGAAGCGCTTCTGCGCCCAATTTTCGACGGTCTCTTGGAACCGTGGCTTTTAACCAGAAAATTGATTGTACACACACATTACTCGGCAATTATATCAGAAAGAGAAGAGAAAATATTTTTTTTAGAATGAACATCCTAAATTGCAACCATTTTTGTTAGCTTCTTATTTTTCTATGATACAAATAGTTTCGTTTCATTTGATCAATGATTGTGACATGTGAATAGAAGGGAATCTTGTAAACAAAAAGTCTCTTTTTTTATAGTCTAAGGTCAATGAGAAATTTTTGTTGTCCTCTAATAAATGGAACACTTTGTATATGGAACTTGATTCACACCATTTTCAGTAACAAATTGTTTAAACACAACCTTCAGAATATTTTTCTAACAAATTGTAAGAGGTTGAATGTTTTCTTGATCAATTTTCTGGATCATTTAGCGAAACAACTCGTCAGTCATCGAATTAAAGTGGTCCACTCGTGACAGTTATATCAGAAACACGAAATTATAAAACGACAAGGGAATCGTGGAACATTCTGCCAAATCATACATTAACCACAGGGTTCTAAAATCTCCATTAATAGTAATCAGAGCGGAAAATGTTAATATTAGCCGCGATAATGTTAGTAAGGACGTAGAGTATTTCGAAAAGCATGGCTTTAAAATTGAATTTACTCCTCATAAATGTCACATAAGATGTAATTTTAGACTGTTCGGGGGTTCCTGCGCGAATGAATGGGATAACCGGTAGCGGAAGTTCACCGGAGGTTGAAGATATCACGACGAACTGCTTCCATATTTTGAACAGAAACGGTGAAACCGACATACCATTCCAAATATTTATCTCTAACAGTTATATAACAATGGTTTCATCCTATAAATATTGCACAAGGTTTAGGAACTGTTAGGAAAATTTTGAATAAAAATGGTAAAAATAGCAAAAATGGTAAAAAGGGTAAAAATGGTGAAAATGGCCAAATGGTCCCATAGGTCGAAAAAATGGTCACATGAATCATGGTTCCATAAATCTGAGAATGGACACGTGGATTTGAAAATGGCCACATGGATTCGAACGGTAGCATAAACAAATTGTTGAAGGAAATCCAGAAACAATATTCGATGGAAAGTCAAAGTCGAAGTCGCGTGACCGTCGGGCACGTATAGCGGCACGCGTGGCGACGGCAGTAGCATTAGTGGAGACGGTAGACACCACGAGGGAGCAGCAAAGAGAGACGGAGGATTCTATATCCGTGCAGACGGGAGCCGGTCCGCGAGGCCGTATTAGGGAAGGTGCTAGATTCTTCACAACGCGGTCGCCATTACCCTTACCGTCAGAACGGGGTACCTGGCCATCAATTATCTTCGTTGAAAATATTAAACATCAGTAAAGTACTTCCTCTCAGCGATAGGTTCGATGTAAATTTTATGGTACTAATAAGTGATCCGCATTTTCTTGATGGAAACAGTATTCAATGGTCTGTATTGTTTCACTTTTATTTCTACTTTTCCAACATTCTGTACCATTTTTACTAAATAATATTTTAAGTTTAAAATAGAAGAAAACTGAATAATATTTTAAGTTTTAAATGGAAACAAGAAAAATTTTTAGTTTAAAATATATCGCGTCATAATTAAAAAAAACATAGTGGATTATTAATTGATAGACTTAACATTTAGTAAATGCAGTGGACTCGCGATAAGTACCCGTTAAGAATGCATTGATTGTAGTCTACAGTACGGACTGTTGGAGCTGGATGCTGGGTCACCCGTGACCCATAACAAGATTTTAGTTTCGTTGCAGAAAAAATTTGGTGGCTGTGTTAGGGTGGACGTGTCGCCGGTGACCCGACAATAAACAAGCGCGAGGGTTAAATATGATATATAGAATTTTTATAAGTTTGAATTAAAATTCACACCTAAGTCTCAGATCGATTTACATTTTATTAATGTTTTGGCTATTTTTAAGTAGTTTTATGAATAATCAGTGTATTGTAATTGAACATAAAATTGTGTCCCTTGTCAATGATTTTCATTCATGAACATACAACCAAGTGTGCCAATCATTAAAATCACGTGTTTCTGGTTAATAATAGCGTTATTCGTATTCAAAAAATACGTATAAAAAATCTACATTTTGCAATATAATTTAATATTCTGGTCCAAATTACGAATTTTAATAAGCAAATAAAAAATTCAAAAAATTATATATTACTTCAATTTATATAATAATTCAAGAATACATTTCTTGTTTATCGAAAAAAGTAAATATCATTATTTAATACATTCTTATTATTGTATAAATAATTAATTTATAATAATATATGATTCCACTAACAGCCAAATTTGGTTTAAAAAATATTTGCCCTAATTTTCCATTTTTGTCTATAATTCGTTCAAAATATTTTCTCACCATTTTCCTTAACATCCAGAGAGACTGATAAGGATCATGGAATATTCAAATGTTTTCTATCTATTGGTGCTTGAGGAGGAAGTTGCCTATACATATTTGATCGGCATTACGGTGAATGATTTCAATGCTTGGCATCCTACAGGAAGTTGGAGATACATATTTCATCAATTTCAGAATTCACCCAGTTTATTATTATTGCACGAATCTATTACCTACACTGTCAGTGAGTGTATTAATACAATTATTCATCGATTGATGAAGAAGTACATGCATAAACCAAGGCTAGTGTAAAATTGAATTCAGTCGAAGCAGCTCCACTATAGTTAAACCTAACCTAACTTTTACTCTCCGATCATTCTAACTTAATATATTATTAAAAAAATAATTTAAAAAGTTATGAGATAATTTTTATACTCTCTTTACACACAAAAATCAATAATTAGTTTCAATTCATGTCGGAAAATAGTTACAAATATTGTTAAAACAAAAATTTCGTCAAAGTGGTGAAAAACCTTGAATCCGAACAGTAATATGAAAATTTGAAATGTTTACTACTCTTTCATCAAATAAGGCATAATATCGGCAATTTTTGTAATTCCGTCATGATAGAATCGTGTTACTTTTTCCTGCATGAGAAGAATTTTTCTACATAGTTTAATTCAGAAATTAGTTTAGAAAATCCGGAGATGTAGAGTATGGATCGTAACGAGAAGAAAGAAAGTATTCTCCGAGCAACATCCGTATTTTTAACGTCTTTGTTTATACATATTCCGCCGCGTATTACGTCATAACATTACAAGAACGCGTCACCCTCGTGTATACTAAATTCGTTCCGTCTCAAATTTCAACAGTTCTCGCTACACGTGGCTGAATGTTCACTACTCGACTCGATAAATCCCCCAAAAAGTTTAAGAACCCTCAATCCTACCCAGTATTGATGCTCGAGATAACTTCGAATTTCATCAATTTTATATTTGAGGTCTCTAATCCTCAGAATTATTAAAATTTGAAGCTTAGATCATGACTATCTCGCCGGTTTCCATCGCAGTCCAGAAATCAAAAGAATTATCATCTAGTAACTGAAGGGCTAAAGCCTTATCTCCTTATTTCTTCAATAAATTCAAAATTTCCAATGTCCAACTTAAAATTTCTATTCTTCCAAAGTACTAGAATTTGAAAGCTATTCCAACCTGTCCGACGACTGTCTCACCGATTTCAGTCACAAATTCGAAATTGAAATAGTGATCATCGAGTCATCCAGGGGCTAAGCTCTTGCCCAAAACATCACCAAAAAAAATTCGAAATTGATCATTTATCGTACGAAATATCTAATCTTTGACAGAATCGGAGCTTAAAGACTATTTCAACTTGACTCTCCGCCGGGGTTTCGGTCACAAAATAAAACTTTGGAGTAGCGATCATCAAGGGGCTAAACTTAAAGACCATCTTCAAAAAAATCCAAATCTTTTTCTTTTAAATCTCTAATCTTCCGTAAGATCCTCTTTCGCTAGAATTTTCGTTCCAATAGAATTTAGTCACCTGAAAAACTCCTCCAACGATCCCTGGTACCGAAAAGAAAGTGTCCTCCCCGTCGAAAATCGCGTGCACCTTTCGTAATCTGGCTGGTACTCACCACCGGTATCTCTCGAAGTCACAATCGAATGGGAACTCGGGGGTATGTGGCAGGCGTCCGATTAAAAACACCGAGCAAGCACTCTACACCGCACTAATACTGGATTCGAATGGCTGGTCTCGCGTCGTGACCGTCCTAGTCATAGCCAGGGGTTTGCACACGGCACGTGTGCATCGGAACGTCAGTGCTGTTGACGACAGAGCGTCGCGGTGGCAGAGGGAGCGCCTCTCAGCCGCCTTCCATCGGCGGGGGTGTTACACTATACTCTATCGGGACGTCGGGACGGCCGATCCAGAGCGGCGAACCGGTCGATCCGACCACGAGATCATCATTTTAATCCACGGATTCACCGAAAGGTCCTCCGCTATTCTGGCTAGGGGCTTATAGGGTTATTGGAAATTTGGATTTGTGCACGTGGTGCGGTAAAATTCGTGAAACGATCGTATGGGGATGATTCTACGTGTAAAAACGGATCGATAATGTAATATGGAGTTTTTTGAAAGGGGACGTTGTTTGGGAGAAAATCCAAAGTTGAGGATACGAAGGTGCCTGATAATGTGTCTGATCAGTACGTGTTGTTTCTACTTATCGCAGGCGTGAGTTTCAATTCTCTCGGAACTGAATTTGTTTTTGGGAGTAAAAAACATTGATTGCATATTTTAACTCGGTAGACTGTATTTTTTTTTTATTTAAAAAATTTGGTTTTAAACAAAGGTTTGTTATTCAATTCTAAATAAAGATAGATATATCTAAGATAGATTCTAAATAAGAAACATACACTGTACCTAAGGTTTTGTGTGAATTTGTAAGAAACTTTATTTACACAGATGTGACAACCAGGTCTGAAATGGTAAGGTGGATTTTAATGGAAACAAATATTCATGTGAAAACGTTTTATTGTATATTCTCGATTTATTTTTTTTTAATAGAACTATGTCTCTCTCGGTTGTTCCATGAATTCTATCACATCCTGTATATGCGGGTCGTAATTATTGGGACACCCAGTGTATGTTATAAATACGTGATATTTCATGAAAAGTATATACTTTGCAATGAAAACGATTGAAGACTGTAGACTGCATGTGGATCATTCAGTTTTGATAGTCCCTGAAGAATATTCTTGCAAAACCTTTATTTATTTAATAATTTCTTAAATTCATATGAAATTTGACAGGTATCCTAATATTTATGGACGGGAATATGTGTACAGATATTTTCAGGTGGTATAAAATCCGAAGTCACAGTAATCCTGTCATATAGTATGCTGCTCTCTCTATAGTAACACTGCTCGAGATTGACGACGCGTTTATAGAGAGAAGTGGACGTGTTTTTCAGACTGTTTCATTGGCAAAGTCATTGCTGTTTTCGTTGATGAACCTCAATGTATTATTAACTATTTCTACAAAATTATAAAAGTCGGCGGAACGCGCTTATAGAGAGAGAATACCGTACATACCCAATAACGGTTTGAAAAAATTGCAAGGAAAGGGAACGTATTTCATTTTACAATCCATTTTGAAAAATGTAATGCATTTTGCATTTTTACACATGAAAATTATGAAAATAATAATCATTTTTACGTTAAGAAAATACATTCAATGAAATTTTATACTTTCTAAGATATACGGTACATATATTTCAGTAGACTATGGGCAAAATAGTTTTTCGAAAGGGAAAACGAATATTAAGACTCGGAAGACATTTCGTCGAGATGAAAGAGGTAGAGGAATATGGAACCGGAGATGTTGATTCGAAATAAAATTACGATAAACCAAAAGGAACTTTAACGATCAGATAAATGCTAGACCGAACTTCATCTCAGTTTTTATTTTTTTCTTCTTTTCCTTCAGTTCTTTTATTGCTTTATATATCGATCATCATTATTTATAAATCGGTATATACTCTATTGCTCGTCATAAAACCGATTTATTACATTTCATCACTAATAACACGGTGAAATAATTAAAATTCCAGCTGTGCGTTTTTAAAACTACATTTTCATCTCATATTTCAACCGAATAAATTATGTAAGCTGGAAAATAGGTGCAGAATTTGGCAAGTAACCGAAATATTATGCTTCCGGTTTTAATACAAGTCGTTTCGATGATCCTCGAAATTTTCTACGAAATCATTGGTTTGCGTATTAATCTTCGTAGCGTGGGTCAGTCGTGACCCACACTAAGCTCCTACAGACACGTGCATGAACATTTTGATTTCCAATGTTCGAGTTACCACTAACTAACCCGTGGGAACGCTCTATGGTTAACAGAACCAATGTTAATAACATCAACAAATATAAATAATTATTATTTTATTATAATTATATTTTATACTCGTTACATTATATCATGTCTATCAATAGATAGTCCACTATTTCTTACAAAACTTCGTATTTATTTTAAACTATTTTAAACATTTAATATTATTTGTTCCCATAATCCTCTCCGATTTTCACTAATCAATAAATATTCGATAAATATTCCTAATCCAAAAGTGGAACTGCTAGAATATTGGTGAACAAATGGTGCATTACTTACTTATACACGTAATGTTATTATAATATTATAATTACTAATAATAATAATATTAATTGACCACGTGACCCCGGTACGAAAATTTGATATTTTCAGTGAATCATGTTCGTAGTTAAGGCACAGTCCGCGGTATTCGTTTACATTGTACTACAGAGGGGAATGTGTTTTCTGAGCGATGAACCACCGAAGAGACAACACCGAAATAAATTTATTACTCATACGATTTGGACTCACTCCCGGGGCTTAACCGCGAACAACGGCAACGCGATACCATAATAATTTTTAGATTTACACCTTTCTGTCTACTGTCGGCCGGTCGACATTCGTCCTGGCTGGAAATCTCTTTGTGGATCATTTGCAATTACGGTGAAAGAGGCCATTTTGTTTCAGCCCTACCAAACTTCCTTAGTCCGTTTCCTCAAATCCACAATTACAAGTAAGCAGAAAAAAATACCTTAATCTTCATTACCAGTAGTATATTGAACCGTAATAGTAACATTAACTAACAACAATACTAATTTTAATTTATAATTATCAATGATAATTAGTAATCATTATAATTTAATATCAATTATCATTATTACTATTAATATTAATTCATAATAATATTAACAAATGATAATACTAACATTATTTCATAATTATTAATAATAATCATTAATTATTATAAATTAATATCAATTATTTTTTTTTAAGAGGAGAGGATGGATCACGCTTCATCGGAAGGCTATTGTTAATATTAATAATATTAGCAATGACAAAATTAACTAACGATAATGCTAATATTGATTTATAATTATTAATAATAATAATTAGTAATTATTATAAATTACTATCAATTACTATCAATAATAATAGTATAATTGGAATATTAAACGAAATTAACCAAGATTACACCGATCTGAAAGAAGCATCGGTCCATCAATAACAAATCCTCTCGCCGGAAGTCAGTAGCCATTTTATGTATCACCTCCTGTCAAAACCGACCGAAGAAGTTCGTACATACATATGTAATGTACGAATGGAAAAGACCACGCGAGCCAACTGGTGAATCGAGCGAGGTCCAAATCGAAACCGCGAACAGGACCAGCTCTCGGCTACTCCAGTTTATTTCGAACCGTAATCGAGGTGGAGTAAAGATCGGGCAAGGATCGAATTCCGTTTTTCTTTCGTTATGCGCCCGTTTGTAGGAGACGAACCGCTCGTTCCGTTCCTACGAGTCTTCCCAAAAGCCTTGCTAGGTACATCCACGAGCAAACTCGGCTTCCACTAGGGGAAAAAGTGGCGTAAGAAAAAAGGTATCCTACAACTTGATAAATTTATTTCAAGTAATGAAATAAATGTTAAATCGAACGTTAATTTGGCATAAATTTCAGTAATTCCAAATACCAAATGGTAGGAGGCCTTTTCCCTGCGTTATTTTTTCCCCTAGAGGAAGCTGAGTTTACTAGTCAGATATACACGTAGTGAGAACAGCGGTTGTGAGAACACACACACACACATTCATTCGCTATTAATAGAATCTTGCTCAAATTTCTATTTTTAGACGGGCTTACCACGCGTGCACGTGGCTTTATGTAAAAAGGCCCCCGAGTCTACATATGATTGTGCACACCCACGCTTAACGGTTCACGCTGCACGGGAAACGGCCACTTCGAGTCGAAACGGTGACCCATTGTGGCAGAATTCGTTCTCAGATATGTAGCTTTTTGTTCCCTGTGACGGCCATTTTGTCGATAAATATAGTCACACGTAAGGTCTATTCATCTTTCACTGGATTCTTACACCGATTTCAGTGCCATTAAATGGGAAGCACCAAAATCGAACCCCCAGTTCGGTTTTTATCTAATGAAATTAATTTAATGTATTCACATGGGCTTAAATAATTTTTTTTAAAAAACCAGGAAGGACTGATTGTAAAATGTTTCATCTGTCCCATATAACGTATATTTCTTATAACGTTTTTTTTTTCAGTATTAATAAATGTTAACTATTCACGAAAATATCGTTTAATAATTTTCCGAACGAATCCCGAAGATTCTCTGGTTGGTAACGAAACGATGCACGGGAAGGAAAAGTGGGGGAATTCGCCGTTGCATACCGGAACCGCGGTCGGGATCGTTGCACCAACGGGTTAAATATAAATAAAGCGACTGCTTTTCCCCGTTGAATGAATTTTTAACCACTTCCTCTTCGCGCGCGGTCTTCCGCTACTTTGGGCACGAATATTTCGGACGGGGATCGAAGGAACAGCCCATTCTCAGCGGCATAATTAAATTCCCTTGTCAATCACACGGATAATTCTCCCTGCACCACGTGACTTCCAACTTCGCCTCCGAAACTGACTGTAATATTTAATTACCATTAACAAATCACCGCGAGACTCGATTCCTGTCGAAAAATATTCAACTAAACTAACATTGTTACACTATTCACGTACAAGTTAAAAACATACCATAAAAAACAAGCTCATTAAAATAATGGACATAAGTCAGAAAAATATAAACGATACAAGAAATATTTTTGCTTATTCGACCCTTTAACGCTCAGGCCCTAGAATCGTTATTTCAAAATTATGGGACTGATTTATATAGTGTATTCTGTTATTTTTATGTCAAAAATATC